CTAAATATTTTTGCATGGAGTTCGGCCGACATGTCTAGAATCGACCTTGAAGTAATTCTGCACTCTGTCAAAGTAAACCCAACATGCAAGCTGGTTATCCAGAAACAAAATTTGCCCCGATTTACCACCATGCAATCGAGCAGAAAGTTGATAAACGCTTGGAGACGGGGTTTATATGGGAAGTGTACTATCCTACCTATTTGGCAAATGTCATTATAGTATGTAAAGCTAGAGGAGCTTGGATAATGTGTGTGGACTATACAGATCTTAACAACGTCTCTCCAAAGTATAATTTTTCGCTTCTTCGTATTGACCAATTGCTCGATACCACATCTAGACGTCAAATGCTGAGCTTCAGGGACGCCTACTCTGGTTACAATCAAATAAAGATGAATCCTGCAGATGTAGAAACAACAATTTTTTGAACAGATAAGGGGTTATAGTATTATCTGGTAATGTCATTCGGGCTCAAGAATGCTGGAGCCACATATCAGCGCTTTATGAATAAGATTTTTAAGCACTTTCTTGGGTGCTCTATGAACGTATATGTCTATGATATGTTAGTAAAAAGTCTTGAAAAAAGTCTCAATATATCTCTGACTTGGAACAATGTTTCCATCTGCTACGAAGCTACAATATATAACTCAACCTAGCCAAGTATGCTTTTGGAGTCCTTTTAGAAAAATTATTGGGGTTCATTGTAACCCACCGAGGGATTGAGACCAATCTTGAAAAAATTAGGCATTAAGAAATATGGTGCCCTAAGGAATATCAAGGAAGTCCAAAGAAAGAATTAAAGGATTGCAGTGCTATATCGTTTCTTGACTCACTCAGGGGATAAATATTTGCCCTTCTTTAAGATTTTGAGAGGTGTGCTTGCAGCTCGGGGTTTCAATGGATCAATGAATGCCAAGAAGCATTTAAACAACAACGAAAGTATTTGACATCGCTGCCACTACTTTCAAAAATAATATAAGAAGATAAGTTGTACCCAAGGTTTAAAATTGCATAATTAAGCCTCGAGGCAGTTTTCGTCTGTGAGGTGAGGCGTAAGCCTCACGGACACAAAATTGCATAAATGAGAATTTAAGGGTTTTAGCATGTAAATAATAGCAAGTTTCTATCATACAATAAAATCATCTAAATGGCATGTGAAATTAGTGGAAAGTAAGAAAATAGATGCAATAAAATCATGTCCCAAAGTACAAAATTATAAAATATTAGTCTATTAAAACTCCCAAAGTACAATTAAGAAAGAACATATAAAATTCAATCATATCCCATCACTAAATGGGTCTTCAAGGGAATCTTCTTCTCCAATTTTATCTATGAATGTCATATCTTCATCATCTTCAACGTGACTCACTCTTTTCTTCCCTGTTCAATAAGAATGATCATTATCATGTTAATTGCTCACTTGCTATAAATATAATGCAAATAAGTCTTCTCATCGCCGCCTATGTCAACTTGTACACCATATTTTCAAGAAGGGTCCCTCCGCAACGACGTATTATACTTTTCCTTGCCCTTAACCATCTTTCATAAAGGAAAAAAGAAAAATAAAAAAAAAATTTAAAACCCTTGCTTTCCTATAAGGTGAAAAATCATACCCTAAACTTAAAAAAAACTCTAAAAACTCTTTAAGAAGGGATGTAGAGGGGCGGCCGGAAATAAGGAACTCACCGGTGAGCGGCGGTGTTGGCTGGAGAGGCGACGGAGACGTGCGGGACTGCGGGTAATGCCGGCTTCGGGACCTTGCGGGATCGGGACTGAAGGCGTGTTCGGGAGCTTGCAGGACCGGTAGATGGGGAGCTGATGGTAATTCATTTTAATGTTAATTAAGTGGGACCCTTCTATGAGGCGTATGCCTCACCATAAATTGGGCAATTGAGGCGCGCCTCACATAGCTTAAGGCGTACGCCTCAGCAAACACCATAATTGCGTAGGCTATGAGGTGTTTTTGGTCCGAATTGCGCAGAGGCACGCCTCATATTGCGCAATTTTAAACTATGGTTCTACCTGTATCTAGTTGTTTCCACCTATGCTATCAACTAGGTCTTGATTCGAGAGGAGAAAGCTATGCAACATCCCTATCTATTATGTCAGCAAAATCTTATCTGAAATAAATGGACTTTATCCATTAACGGATAAAACAACTTTGATGTTAGAAGCATCTAGTAAATTAATGAAGTGATCAAAGCGTCGGACCGGGGTCCCATCCCACCACGCGCAATAAAGGCTTGTATAGGCGGTTTTCCGGTCCGCCGCACACAACGGAAGCGAGAATCTGAGTTTAGGAAATCCGTACCTTCGCGGGGTTGGCGGTGGTCGAGGCTCGAGGATCGAGGGAGAGAGAGGTATTTGTAATTAATTAATCATCTAATTATAACTAATTCATTTATTACTTTTAATTATAATTAATATTATTTAATTATAATAATGATAATTAAATAACAAATTAAAATTAATAACAATTAACTATTTGATTATAATTAATCTATTAATTATAATTAATTATAATTAGTTATACCTAATTATAATTAAAAATAATTAATGCTAATTAATAGTTAAGTGTAACTACTAATAAATAACAATATTTAATCATAATTAATTATAATTTAAAATATTTATTTCATTAATTATAATTAAGATTGATTAATTATAAATAAAATTAAAATAATTACCTCTCCCTCTCCACTCTCTTAACAGATTTGCGGGATTTGGCCGAAGCAGTGCGTGAAAGGGAAACGTTACCTTCACAGCAAGAGCTCACGTCACTGCTCGAGATCAAAATGTTGAACTTCCAAAACGACAAGAAAGGAATGTCGTCTAGGGCAGGGGAGATCGAGAGATTCAGCTTAAGGGATTCAGCTAGGCTCAGATGGAGATCGGCAGTGGAGATGTGGCTTGGAGCTCCTGCGGCTTGGAGAGGAGGTATTGGAGCTCCTGCGGCTTGGAGAGGAGGTAGGGAAGAAGCTCTTCCTCTCTCTTTCTCTCTGTTTCTCTCTCTCTCTCTGTCTCTGTGAGGATCAGAAGAGCCGAGAGGGCTCAGACGGGGTCGATACAAGAGGTGGAGGGGTTCGGACGCAGAGGAAGCTCGGGCAAGGGGGGGCGACGAGATTTTGGAGGAATTTGGTCGGAGGAGGAGACGGGCTTCGGAAAATGGGGAGCTGGAGTTTGTGGCCGCTGGGGTTCTGACAGAGGAGTGGAGGCAGTGACGGGAGAGGAGGAGAGGTATCGGGAGAGGAAGAAGTAGCGAATGGGAGAAGTGTCGTGTGAGCAACGGGTATTTAACGACGCGAGCGGAGCTACGGATCGCAGAATTTGAGCAGGATTTACGCATGATTTTCGGGATACGACACAGACGGCGCCGAACGACTGGATTTGCGGAGGATTTCGTGGATCCAGCGGTTTACAAGTATTTTGATTTTGAATTTTTTTTGTTCCTGCTGGTTAATGCTTAGAGGTCAACATGGACCTTATGCAATTATGATCTATTTCCGTTTCTTTTGAATAAAATTTATCTAGCCATGTTCTTGTTTGTTTCTATTTCCTCAAATGTTTTGAATGCTTTTGCTCTTAGTCTTACATTCATAAGATTTGCACAGCACACTTGGGTGAATTTATTAAGAAAGGCTTCTAACATATATTGTCTAATGTTCTATCCCATAAAGCTATCTAAGCTCAAGCCTCATACTATTTACAAGGAGATGATTTTCCCTGAAATCAATCAGTTGCAATTGTATCGTGCTTGAAGGAATTGCACATCTAACTTAACATTTAATTGAAAATCTGAGGATATATTTTATTTAAGCCAAAAGCTGTGAATTGCATGACTTGTTTCACTATATGTAAATTTCTCTTAGCCTAACTTAGGAGATAAGATCAGCATATGATCAATCTTAATGTAAAGTTAATTCCAATTAAATTCTAAACTCTTAAGTAACTTGATTCCTGCCCTTAAATCCAATGTAGATACATGTGAACGATGAATCAACCAGATTCCGCAATCTTGTGCCCACCTTGCAAGCCTACAAGCAAATCTCATAATAGTACGAAGACCCAACCACTTGTTCTCAAAGCAACAAGAACCATGCAAACAACTCCAATCAATCCACAGCTTAAATCCCTTTACTTTAAATCCATAACCCATTTTTTTATTTTTCTATTTAATACCAAAGACCACCATCTGATACCACCACATCAAAGAGCATAACCACTTATTACATTAGATTAATGTTCTCATCAATCGTTAACATAACCTCAATTGCCATCTCTTTAATTTTATTAATCTTCAACTATGTATCCTTTGCTAAGCTCCATATCATCACTCTACGAAAAAGGTTGAGGGCTAATATATATATATATAAACCATTGCCTTTAGTGCATGTATATATATATATATATATATATACACCCATTGCCTTTAGTGCATGACTGGAACAAATAGCTTTATAAACTTAAATTTTCTTAGCTTATCATAGACAATGAATATAATTTTCTTATGTTTTTTTTCCTTACGTAAAGAAAAGATCTTTTTTTTCTTCAAAAGGTGTATCTTTTTTCCATATATATATATTTGTGGTTTAAAGTTTTTTTGATGAGCATTTAGCTGCTTTAATTTCTCTTTTAAATTGGTTTGGATAATCCTAGCATTATAGTTTTGGCACTTTCTTCTGTGTTTCAAGACTCAAGTTGTATTTTTTTTCATTACATGAGATTGTTTTTCTTGGTTGGCAATTAGTTGCATTAATTTTTGTTTTGAATTGGTTTGGATAATCCTATGATTAGAGGTAGGGCACTTTCTATCCTTTCCAGGGTGTATTATCTGAAGTTGTGTCAAGTATAGAGATTCAGAAAAGATACATTCACAGTACATTATAGGATTTCATTTGGAAAATTACTTGTAGATATATTCTTATCTGTTCATTTATTTGGATCTTTTACTTTTTTATTTGTGCTTTTAACATTTACATGCATGGACTTGTTATGTTTCATAGGTTATTCAAAGAGAGCCATGGGAACACATAAAAGATCAAGATATTAAAAAGGCTGCTGCATCCTTCCATGGGGAGATCTGGCAGGTACCTCCCATGTTTTCTGCCATTAAGGTGAGTTATTAAACATTTACATTGTTTATTTTCATAAAAATGCATATTTGTAATGAGAATTTTTTTATCTGGAAAACTGACTTCTGTTGACAAGCTATATTTTAGTAGATTATATCCTTATCACTCTGCTGTTTTCTACGTCAAGTGCGTGCTTGTGTGCAATTCCTGTGTATAGTTTTTTGATGTTATTATGTGCATTTGTACATGCTTATTTCTTTGGCTTTGTGTCTGTGTTTGTTTATGTATGTACGTATGTGTTTCTCTTTAGAAATTAAGCCATTGGATACTTGAAGATGTAATTTCACTCCTGTGCAGCGACATAGTGTTTTTTATTAAAGAAGCAGTCTGATATATTATACAAGATATGTGAGCATTTATGGATGTAACTTTTAGCTGATTTGTCCTGTGCTCTCTATGCTAGTGTTTAATGATGCTATGTAATTGTCTGTGTGGTTAAATTATGGTTTTTGTTGCTCCGTTCCATGTCTTTCTTTGACTTTCAGGCTGCTATAATGTTATTTTCTGCATGTAATGTTTGTCTTCATAGCAGCTGTGTTTTCAGTTTCAACACTGGTTAATTTCATCTTGAAAATCTGTGTTTATTTTAGGTTGGAGGCGAGAAGATGTATGATAAAGCAAGGAGAGGGGAGATGCTTGAGCTTTCACCGAGGCGCATAACAATCTTTGAGTTTGATATTGAACGCAGCCTCAATGACAGGTTTGACCATAATGGCATGCATAGATTTTTTTTTTTTTTTAATAATTTTAAACCATCACATGTTAAGAATTATAGAGGTAGACCTTAAAAGAGTTGGTTAGAAAATATTAGAAATGATCGTTTTCTTATTAGAATTTAACTCTTAATAAGACACAATGGAGAAAAATGATTCATGTAATCGACCCCATGTAGTGGGATAAAGACTTGATGTTTGTTATTGTTGATACTTTTAAATCATCCAGTTAACTCCTTACTACAGCTTTAGGTACTATTTATAAGTATAACCAATTTTCCTTTTATACTTTTTAATATTTTCGTGATATTTATTTCCAGATGATTTATTAAGTGGAAGTCTCGCAAGTAATGGAATGCTTTTTTGTTCTTTCTCGTTGCCAAGTACAGTGGCAATAAACTTCTGTTACCGCTTGCGCTTGCATTTATTGAACTTCTATGCTTTCTTAGAATTTGTCTGATTGATTGCAATTTGGCTTCTTCTATGTTCAGCATTTGTATAGAAAAATGCCTGCAAATTATTCTTTATTTAACTCCTTACTATAATTTTTGGCACTGTTTCATTTTTCCTTCACGTTTTAATGTTCACGTGATATTTCATTCCAGATAATTTTGTAAGTTGAGTTTTCTTAAGGAATGGGTTGCTCTTTTGTTCCTTATAATTTTCAAAGCAATAAAATCTTGTTACCCACCCCAGTGGCCTTTATTTTATTATTCTTTCTTCGAATTTATCAGATTGATTAATAATTTGGCTCTTCTCAGTTAAGTATATACAGGAAAAAAACCAGAAAATATTTATTTTAATTTATTGACTTTCTGGCATTATGTTGTAGGTGCGAGTGTATGCTACAATAGAATTTAAGTAGCACCTGGAAATAATTTTTCTATGTTCAAGCAGCCTTATTTTAAATTAGATGTGGAAATTTATTTGCATTTTCTGCATCATTCTCCTTGAGGAATTGATTTAGAGATCACTGAGGGAATTTCTGGAATTTGTCTACATTGTGTTGGTAATGCAGCTTCTTAATTCTTTATCGTATGGCCTTGATTCTATATGTTGGAGCATTTGATTAAAACGAAAGCAAGCAGCACAAATTATTTTTCTAATCTGAAGTAGTTCAATGGCTTAGTAGGTGCAGATGAAATTATCAATTTAATTAAATGATAGATTTTCACAGCTTTTAACATACAACTTGCGGATTGATCACTCTAAATTCATACCAACGCCTGTAAGTGACAATCACGGAAAGAAGAATATGACAACAATCCTATAGATCATATCGCATGCATCAATTCTTCATATAACCATGTATATGGCTTCATATCTTCCGGGATGCATAGAACAAGTGCTTTTTATAAGTTGCCATTATGTTAGAATCCAGCTTACAAGCCTGAATAAGAAATTATGACAAACATAAAACAATTTTTCTACGCTGGGTAGCATGCACTTGTTTTCATTAATTTCATGAAAACAGAGAATTTCTTTAAACGGTTAATTTCTTATCTATTATTATTACCGTAGGGTAGGTACCCTTATGATATGCTTTATTTTGGCATATTTCATCATAACTGACTATTTGTTTCCTGTATGAACTACAGACAAAATCTAATATTTCGGGTCTCATGCTCTAAAGGAACCTACATTCGATCCCTCTGTGCAGATTTTGGAAAGGCACTTGGCAGGTCTTCTCCTCCCCTGAAGTTAAATTTAATATTTTTACGTTTTTTATGTTTCTCATATGTATTGATTTATTTGTTAAGCACACTCAACCTGTACTTGCAAGGGATGTGGTAATCTATATTTTAGTTATACGTAATTCTTTTATTTTAGATGCGGTGCACTTTGTATTTCTTTTGTAAGGAATAATCGCCATTGACTCAGAGAATGTGCTATATATTGTCTGTCTGTCTTATGAAGCTGTTCTTGACCATATATACTCTTCAGTATGCATTAAATGTAGTGAAATACATGTTTTCATGATTTTTAAATATTGGTCATCCTTTAGTTGCGTTTAATAGTCTCGTAAAGAGAGATTAGTAAGTTTTTATTTCATTCATGTAGTGTGGGCTACAAAAATTTGGCTTTTGGAGCCTCAACCACTCCGCATGGTTCGGGGAAAATTGTAACATATTAGGTTATGGGCGAAATTTTTAGACATTGGTTAGAGATAAAACATTACCGAAAGTTTTCACCCTCATATGCGAGAACATCAAGATCTGAGTTCAGGTTTTCTATAGGTGTAATTCCTTAAAGTTAATTACTCCTCCCAGTACTGAGAGAGCACTTTCGATTAAAACTTATCACTAGATAGGCACAGGTTCCTAATGTATAGTAGCAGTAGTTTTAGATGCTTAAGATTAGAAATTTTATCACCAATTCACCTAAAGCGGATAGTCAGGATAATTATGACAAACACAATCAAGATCTCATGGTTCTATCATCCCGAGTTGTCATGGCCCCTAGTCTACTTAGTTAGAGGTGGTCGTTGACCTAATCTGATAGAATGATCATTGTTGGCAGTCATTGGTTGCTTTATACAAGGGTACCTTATAGACCTAGGATGAATATTTATCTTATGAATTAATTTTAGTAAGCTTCGGCTAATGGAGAGTTTTGTGCCCTATTAAGTTGCCCTATGATTCATTATTAAAGAGCGGGGGGGGGGGGGGGGGGGGATATAGTAGAAGCCATAGTGGTCAAACCACCTAGTCAGTGTGACTAATCATAATTATTTACCATGTGGAGCTATTAGGCCAAACCACCAATTAGAGGATCCCATCATAATCGTTTTTCACTTGTAGTTGTTGGGCCAAACCACTTATTTTATGAAGCCATTGAGCCAAACATCTATTAAAAGTCACATGTCACGTCTTTTTTAGTAGGATATTATTTGAAAATGAATCTTAGTGATATTCTCGACTGAACATTCATTTTTTTAAGTTGAATTTATTATTGAATTTATCGCCCTCGTTGAACAATTGGGGAGGGTAATTTAATTTTTCTTTAAGTTTAGATGATTAAATTTAACTTTTTTACAATATTTTAAAATTTAATGAATGTTATACTTCAAAATTTTATTAAAAAGTTTTAGCCCTGAGTGGCTAATTTTATGTCTGCTTTCCTCCATCGAGACTCCACATTACTTCTAATTTTAACTACACATCTGGTCACTATGTGCATTAAATTAAGATATGATAATATTGAAAATATCATTTTAATCATTTATGAAATAAGAGAACTCATTTGTACTTCATATAATACTTTATCAATCCAAAACTAGAGAATTTAGTCAGAGTTAGAGAAAAGTTGAAGTAAACTCATTTTTATTAATAGCATGCTAGAAAGAAAATACAAGAGATAGATATCACTAGATTGGTTCAATGGATCTTCTCTACACTCCTTTTTACTTATCAAATTGCTTCCACAAGCACAAGCCAAACACTTTAATGATGGTATCAAGTACTTGTCTAAATTCTCTTAGTTGTCATCCTAAGGAAAATTTAGAGAAGCACTCTAAATTATACTGAAATTTTCTAAGTGACTGAACTCCCTTACAAATATAACAACACAACTATTTATAGAAAAACATAAATAGGTATCTGGCATTGCAATATTCTAAAGATTAGCGCCGTTGCGCCCAACAAATGAATTAACGTCGTTGCACTATTTTTCTTGTTCTGCCATGGCACTTGCTGACATGGATCATTTACTTAGTGAACATTCGCGTCGCTTCGCTGACAGGTCATGTCCTTGGGAAGTAACAACTGCAACACTGCGGCGATGCTGACTTTCAGAACGCTGCAGCGCCAGAAGGGCAGTTTGGGCACCGGAGCGTTATTGATTGTGACGTCGCGGTGCTGGACAACATAACACTCGACATTGCAAAGTTGATATTTAACTATCGTGGAACTATTCGACAAAGAAGTTGGCACTGCAATGTTGATCTTCTGGCGCTCTTGCGGTGTCTTTGATGGCATTGCGACGTTGTTTGTTCCAACACCATGACACTATATGGAACTTAGAATTTTTAAGCCTTTTTATGTATTTTCCTGCACAACACAACTAAAACAACATATTCTCTAAAAATATAACACATAAAATGACACATTATTTACATTTATCAATTTTTTTATTATTAATTCATTAAATACTATAAAATTATTAAGCAAATGTGAATCAACCCCTCAAGCAATTTTTTGTCATTCGTGCACCTCAATTTATGTGCCATCAACTCGGGCAAATGCGAATTTCGTCCTTTTGATTTGCGGAAAGACGCATGCAATATTAGTTATATCTAGGTAATTTTGATGTTATGCATGCAACAACGTTGTTCTTTTCATGAACGGGCGACGTTCGGGTGATGTTGTATAATGCTATGTTCGTAATTTGTCGTTTAGTTCACGTTCTTTTGAATCGGACACGGGTAGTTTTCCTTAGGTAAATTCGATGTTTCAAGTGCAACATCGCAATTCATTTCGTGATTAGGCGATGTTCGGGGAATTTTTCGCAGCATCGTCATGGTCAATTGTTGCTTTTATCATCTGCTTGAGCGAGCCGCGTGCAGGTGTTTCTTCTTAGATTAGTTCGACATCCTGAATACATCAATGCGACCTGTTTTGAGATCTGATGATGTATGGAGGGTGGTTTTTACCACAGTTAAGGTGTCTTGAGTGAGCTGTGCTTGACGTCAAATTGATTGGTCCCCTTCTCGTCGAACTTGCTTGCACTGATTTCATAATGCGCATGGAGGTCAACATGTATTTTATAGTGCGCATGGAGGTCAACATGTAGCATTTAATAAAGGATTTATAATAATTAATGAAGGTTCAATAGTTTTGGTAGGAAAATACGTGTCTAGAAGTGAAATTTAATTCGGGCATCCATGCTATCTTCCTCATTTTCAATGCAATTGGTATGCTAGTCGAATCATTATGGCAGTTGATGAAACTACAGTAAGTCTTTCATATTGGAGATGAAAATGAGCAATATATCTTTTATATAAAGATCATAAAAAATTATACACATCGATACATGGATATATGCATTTCTGTTATGCTAAAAGTTCAATTTCATGCGTGTGTCGTAGTTTTTTTTTTTCTATTGCTATGATGAACCTAGGACTTTCAAATGTTGACTTTTAGATCTTAAAAATTTATCAGCTGCTAGATTGTGTTTTTTTTTTTTTCCTTACAATGTGCTTATACATTATCCAGTAGTAATAAACTTAGTTATAATTTTTCTGTAGGGTTTTTATTGTTCTTCCTAGTAAGGTATAAGTGGAGACGTGTAAAATGTTAATTTCTTGGACTGATTCTCATCAACTATCTTATGTCTGCAGTTGTGCGCACTTGACTGCACTAAGGAGGGACTCAATAGGTAAATGCTTTTCCTTAATGTGTAAATGATATACCAACATAATCATTATTATCATTATCCTAATCTCAATTATGTTGGCCAGGATTGGCATTCTAAATCCACATATTTTATTCATTTATATTGTGGACTTCTTGAGATGTTGAACCTATTTTTTACATATCATTTTGAATAACTTCTATTGAGATGTTAGACTTATTTTTTATAAATCATTTTGAACAACTTATATTCATGTTTTTTTAATGCCTATTGATTTTTCATTTTTAATTTTTTGATACAAATTTTATTTAATCATCTAATGCATAAATGATATATGTTTTTGAAATGTCTTGAGCTTTCCATTACTTCCCCAGTAAACAAAAGGCACTTTTTTAACGTAGTTTTAGTTGTTAATGATCTACAGTTGTAGTTGGCCATATTTTTTGTGCATTTCATATTTAGCCATCATTTTTGTTTCCTGTAACTATTGGCTTAAGATGTACGTGAATACGGTAATTTCAATTTTTTAGGCTTTGGTGTCCGTGATATTCATCGACCCTCCTGATAATTGTCCAAGTGAGCTTCTTCCAACCAAGGGCGATCTCTAGAAATTATGCTTTATTTTTCTATAAAAGAGGGATGTTGATTAGTAATGTTTGGGTTGTGTTACTGTGACTAATAGCCGGTTTGCATTACTGTGGACTCATCCCTGGTCCGTCCTGTGCTTTAGTTTGGTTGATGAAGACTCAACGTTTGTGAAATATGATTAAGTAGACAATAAAGAGTAGTTGATGATAGATTGGTTGGATGTCGTTGAGTTTAAGGGTCAGGATAGGGAGCCAGGTAAATGATTTAGTTCATTTTGAACAAGTTTGTAGGGATTTTTAGTTGGTAATTCTACATGAAACCCAGCTTGTGTGCTAAGTGCGATGTAGTCTGGGCTAAATTGGCTTTCATTGGGATGCAGTTAGTGAAGATCAATTTTACAGGGGAGAACTGCTGTTTTGATTGAAATGTATTTTGTTTTCCAAAATAGACGTAAATATATCTTAAAGTTATTTTAGTTAGTAATGCTACATGTCCCACTTAAGCCCTTAGTGCCAATCTATGAGGGTGGAGTTTAGCTGGGTAAAATGTATATGTGAGTGGATTTGGTGGAGATCATTGATCGAACGGGAAATAAGCTGATTAGTTTGCTAAGTGTAAATTCTCAAGAAATGGATATTTATTGAAGTATTTTAGTTTATATTGCAACACAAGAATCCTTTTTGTGTTTAGGATAGATGATGATTGGGTAATTCCCACATACCTATTTGTGTCCTAATTGCATCTAATAGATTGGGACTAGGTTTGGGATAAGGGGCTATTTGGTTGTCTGAAAGAAAAAAAAACAATGTAAAAGGAATGCAACGTAAAAGGAATGTAGTGTAAAATGAATACTTTTGAGTTGTTTAGATGAGTGTAAAAGGAATATATAAGATTACTTTTTTTGTTTGAAGTAAAGTGATTGCAATAAAGGTGGATTAGATATTTTGCAAAAAAATTTTAATGAAGAATGTGAAAATACGATTGACTTTAGTGATTTTAGCACCCTAAATGAAAATAAAGATTTTTGTTTTTATCAGTGTATTAGTAAAACCGAAGTTGGAGAGGCTTTAAAGAAAATGAAGTATTAAAAAGCTGTTGGACCTGATGATATATCAATAGATGTGAAAATGTTTAGGAGATAAAGGAATTTCTTGGCTTGCTAAATTTTTAAATACTATTTTGAAGACAAAAGATTTCGGATCAGTTGGAGAATGAGTGTGTTAATTTCTATTTTTAAGAATAATGGTGATGCACAGGAGTGCGAATTATAGAGGAATCAAGTTAATGTGTCATACTTTAAAACTATGGGATCGAATTATGGAGCGTAGGTTGTGGCGTGATACTAATGTTTCTCAAAATCAATTTGGATTCATGCCGGGTAGGTTTACTATGGAAGCCATACATTTCTTGAGAGGTTTGATGGAGAACTTTAAAGAGAATAAGGTGGATTTGCATATGATATTTATTGATTAGAGAAAGCGAAGTGCTATGGAGAGTTCTTGAAAAGAAAGAAGTTAATAACGCTTATATTCAAATCATTTAAGATATGTATGCCGGAGCTATTACTTGTGTTAAAACACAAGGTGGTTTGACCAAGTATTTTCCTATTTCGGTTGGATTACATCAAGGATTAGCCTTAAGTCCATATCTTTTTGTGTTAGTCATGGATGTTCTCACTAGACATTTGCAAGAGGATGTACCTTGGTGTATACATTTTGCTGATGATATTCTTCTTGTTGATTAGACTAGAGAGGGAGTTGAAGGTAAACTTGAATTATGGAGGTCAACCTTAGAGTCTAAAGGTTTCTGCTTGAGTAGATCTAAAACTGAATATATATAGTGTAATTTTAGTACCAATAGACCTAGTGAGGGGATTGTGACTTTGGGCGATCAAGTCATTAATAAGAGTATACATTTTAGATATATTGGAATTATTGTTCATAGTGATGGTGAAATAGATAGAGATATTATCAATAGAATTCAAGTTGGATGGTTGAAGTGGAGGAATGCATCGGGCTTGTTGTGTGATAGAAAAGTCCCCCTCAAACTTAAGGGAAAATTCTATAAGATGGTGGTGAAACTTGCAATGCTTTATGGTGTTGAATGTTGGCCATTAAAAGAGAAGCATAATACTAAGTTAAGTATTGCAGAGATGAGGATGCTTATGTGGATGAGTGGCTTTACCCTTAGAGATAGGATACGAAATGAGCATGTACATGAAAAGGATGGAGTAGCTCCAGTGGAAGATAAGATTAGAGAGAGTCGCCTTTAAATGGTTTGGTCACATTAAACGGAGACCTTCCGATGACCCGGTTAGGAAAGTTGATGTATTAGATTTGACTTATGTTAAGAGAGGTAGAGGCAGACCTAAAAAGACTTTGGTAGAAAATATTAGAAATGATATTTATTTATTAGATTTAAATGAGAATTTGACTTTTAAAGGGACACAATGACAAAAAAGGATTCATGTAGCCGACCCCACGTAGTGAGACAAATGCTTGATGTTGTTGTTATTGAAGTAATGTGAATGCAATGTAAAATACAAAAAAGTTGTTGTCGGTGGCTAACATTGGAGGCGGTGTGGCCGGCGGTGGTGGTGGCAGGCGTTGGCTAGCAAAGGGGGGCGGATGGCGGTGGTCGGGGGTGGTCGAGGGTGGCTGACGGTGGTCGACAATAGGTAGAGGTGCTGGTTGGCAGTGGAAATGGCGGCGAGTTTCCGGTGTATTTGGAAATTGCCCAAATTGGCCAAATTTCAAATACTCTTGATTTTAACTATAGGGTGAATTTCTTTTTTTTTTTCATAAATTTATTCTGCATTCCTTTTACTTCAAACCAAACACATATTTCTAAAATCCCTGAATTTGAAATACTTTACACCTCTTTTAAACAAACCAAACATTACAGCCCCTAAAGTTTGTTCCAGACCCCCAACGCAAGAAAGTTTTACATTAGATGTTGCAATCTATCTTGGATATTGTAGTTGTATACTCTGTTAAAACTCTATGTCATTTTTATTTCATCCGTCATCCATAACTTCAATAGTGAACTATATGATTGATAATAGATACCAATGTAGTGCCAATGTCTTTTCTTCAAGTTTAATATTGTAGTTTCCAGAATACACCATACTTTTTTCATCATACTCTGTTTTCCTCTCCTGTAGGTGAATATGCTGCAGATGACGCTTGGAGTTTCCAAGATTTAGAAGATCAGATCGGCAAGGTCTATTTATAACCATGCAGTAAATTTTCTATCTACTTGAGCTTCTCCTCGTGGAAGCTTGCATGCCCCTGAATGGAGTTCAGATCCAGATCCTTGGTGAACTGAGCTGTGGTGATCCTAAGCTAGAGGTTTAGTTGGCTCATTGCAGATGGCGAATCTCATTGGCTGAATATCATCTTTCATTGCCGTGTGATTTAGGAACGCTTATAACATATAATTTTTTGGAAGTTATGCTCCTAATATTTTGAACCGTTAAAATATTTTAATTCTTGCGGAGCGCCGTAAGGCAAGTTTGTTTGGAAGTAATTGTTTGAAATTTATTTAAAGAAAGTCTGGTTGTTTCTGTTGTTTTTATAATTTCAATTTTTATCAATACATTTGGTTGAAATGAATTTCATTTACCTCAAGTTAAATTAATATTCTTATGGTTCAGTAAGATTGATTTTTCTAATTTGTTTGATAAGATATTATCCTTGTATTTGAAGTATCCCTACTTAGACTTATAGAATTTTGAATTATCTTAAGCGTAATTATTAATAAAATTCCCTACGCTAATATAATTATTAGTCATTAATATTATTAATTAATGTCATGGGGATTGCTAATGAGAATGGTTGTAGTGTGTTGTGAGCGGTGCTAGTTGGAGAAGATGATTCATGCTATTGAGGCAAGCAATAGCAATGATCATTTTCTTTTTTTAGGAGAAACCTATGAAGAGGTGTACACGTTTATATAAAAAAAATGATTATACGGTCTTTAAAGAGAATTGAAGCTTACTATTGTTCTAAAGAGTTATAAAAATAAAAGCAAAATAACCTATTAGCTCGAGTTTCCTACTAAGTAAAAGTACATATAAACTTAGGTACATTGTACGGTGCACAAGAACGAGCATTCAAAAAATCATAAAGGAACAAAAAATAATATTAAGCTCCAAAGTCTTCCTGAGCAGCTCAACAGCACGATCATCTGCATTGAAAGCATTTTATAGAAAAGGGTAATTGACATAAAAACAAAAATAGTAGTAGAAATATATCAAAATCTAGTTATAGCACCAATGGATATTAAAAATACCACCAAAGTTAAAATAACCCAACCCAAGAGTATAATGTCTCATAAGCCACTAGAGGTTCATATTAGTAATCTCATGCCAAGTAGCCAGAAAAAAGACCTCTAAACAACTTAGCCCCAACCAATAAGCCAAAACAAGAGGATCCTTGATCCTAATAGCCAATCCCAACTACAACAGCAAACCACCAAGAGCAAAGGGAGAACCCCTAAGAAAGGAATTCAAGTACCTGGTAAACAGTCCAGCAAAAGGCTTCAAGAAAACAAAAGCCCATGACAAAATCGCAAAGGAAAAAATACCTTCCCTCAACTTGCGCCAACACAAATAAAATAACAGGCAGATTAACCCAAAGGAAAGCAGATTAATCCAAAGACTCGTGAATGGCTTCCAAAACAGCCAGGCACCAAAACCAAAAAATCTGCACATGGCCCATGCCAAACTTACGGTTCACATCAACACACTCCCAGAAAGACAAATGAGAGCAAACGAATAACCTCCAGCCATTCTGAAACATCCAAAACCACAAGGCCACATAGTTCCCAACAGCACACTCCCAGAACAAATAAGAGCAGACGTACAAACCGCAAGGCAACCTCCAACCATTCAGAAACAGCCAAAACCACCAGGCCAACCAATACCAGCAAACAAAAATGTACCCAGCCACATAATGCTCCAACAAAAGCAGGGAAAACATAAAATCAACCTAGAATATATGCAAACACACCAACCAATCGAGAAAGAACATAAAAGAATAACAGGAGTTCAACAGAAAATCAGCAACACCATCCACCTTAATGAATAACATAAGGAACACTGATCTTATCAAGATTTAAAAGACCCCTAACATGAAGAGGTAAATTAGAACTAAAGAAATCCTCCATGGAATCCAATCCATAGCCCCTCCTTCCTATGGCATTAGCACAAGCATTAACATCCACCTCAATAGAAGAAAAAGAGAAATCAAGCATGTCAACAAATTCTTAATTTCCCTCGTGTAAAACAAATCAAAAGAGCGCATCTTATCATTTCTCAAAATAAAAGACCAATAACAATAAGTAGAATAAACCTCCACCATAATATTAATGCAATCAAAAGAAAAACACAACCTTAAACCATAGAGGATAGCAAAAGTGGCAGCAGTATTAACATCACAATTAAAACGAGGACCAGCAAATCGCAAAATGAAATTACAATTGGAGTCCCTGATGACTTCACCATAGCTCGCCACAGCCTTATTGTACACAACATCCACCTTTAACTTAAAGAAATTATCAGGAGATTTCAACCACAAGATACTTCTTGGGACATAATGACAATTATCCACATCAAGATTAATTCCAAAGTCAACAGTAGCTATGTGATAATTTTTGAAATTCTTAGCAGAAAAAAGTTTAATTTTATCTTTAACGTTTTGAATAATTCTATGATGATTCATAACCACACTATAAAAACGAGAATTATTCCTGTCCAACCATAAAAAACAAAGGATACGAGAGGGAATAACATTCATGATATGACCTATAGAATTAACAAACCAATAATTAAGTAAAGAGTTATTAGAAACCTTAACATTATAGTAGTTTAAGTGCAAAATATCCTCAAAATAAGTCCAGACAAGGACCAGAGACAAAGACATGATGGATATTGTCCATAAGATAGTAGAATTGACATTTAGAGAGAAGAATAAATCCACGTTAAATCAAATTATCATCCGTAGGGATGAACTTATGTAAAATGCACCAAACTAAAATAGAAATCGTAGTAGGAATACTTTTGTGCCATATCATTTTGAAAATCTTAGAAACCTCTTTCTCATCTCTAAAGGAATGCCAAGCATCCTTTAAACTAAAGTTTCCATCTTTAGTTAAGGCACAAAGCTGAACATCAAGATAATTCATGTTTAAAGGGACCTGCAAAATTTGCTGAGTGATAAAATTAGGTAATACATTAGAGAGTTTCTCAATATCCCGGTCATTATCATTGAAAAAATAATTAACCTTCACAGAAGCATTGGAGGAAGTAGTGATAATAGAATCAATGGATTGGCCTCCCAACCAACGATCCTGCCAAAAGAAAGTATTACCACCACCAAATCCCCAATAGATAGACCGCTCAACTTCCTATTCACTTTGCAAAGACGATGCGAACCTTTAGAATTCACTTTACTAAAATAACACGTGGAGGGATGCTTCCGCCCACAATACTTAGCATTCATAAAATTAGTCCAAAGGCTCAAGTTAGCACGGATATTATACCATAACTTAAAAGAAAATGAATAAGCCAAATCCTTCAATGACTTACACCCTAGAGCCCCTTCATCAAAAGTGCCACAACATTTATTCCAGGAAGACCAGTGGATTTTAAAACAGCTACTAGCCCCTTTCCAAAAAATATTATTAAAAAAATTTTCAATCCTGTTACACATAGCCTGAGTTGGAAGCAAAATTTGAAAGCTATAAACAGGGATAGAGCAAAGGACACTCTTCATAAGACTTGACCTATCACGAAAACTAAGAAAGTTAGAATCCCAAGATAAAAGTCTATTTCGCACATCCAAAATTAAATCTTCGAAAAGAAAAGATTTCTTTATACCCTTATAGAGAGGCACACCAAGGTACTTTAAAGGTAAACAAACATTACTGAAACCAGTTAAATTCTTAGTAGCCACAATGCAATCCAAAGGAACATTCTTAGTAGAAATAAAGCTACATTTATGTTTATTAAGCGCCAGGGCACTCTGCAATTCATATTGTTGATAAAAACCTCAATAATTTATAAATCCTATTTAAAGAGGCATTAGTAAAAGTAATAAAATCATTCACAAAACATAAGTGAGAAATATGAAAATTACCTAAAGTTTTAAAATAAAGGCAAGGAGACTTCTCAAAGAGATCAGCAAGACCTCTAGAAAGGTAGTCTGCCGCAATAATGAAAAGCGTCGGAGAGATGGGATCACCCTGTCTCAAGCCATGAGAGGCCTTAAAAAAACCATTAGAACTACCGTTAAGAATGATAGAAAACTAAGGGCTTTCAATACAAAGCTTAATGAGATTGATAAAATTTAAGTCAAAACCAAATAACTTCATAATATCATAAAGGAAATTCCAAGAAATATTATCATAAGCCTTAGCAATATCAAGTTTCAAAATCATATTTCCACCTCTCACTTTAACATCCAAATCGTGACAAAACTCTTAAGCCAAAAGGATGTTATCAGCAATGGAACGGCCTTTGACAAAACCCATTTGAAAAGGAGAAATTAGCTAAGGCAGGAAAATAGATAAATGATTCATCAAAATTTTAGAGATCAATTTATAATAAAAGTTGCAAAGACTAATAGGTCTAAAATCATTCCAAGAACTGCTAGAATTGTTCTTAGGAATAAGCACAATAGAAGCAATGGAGATGATGATGTTGATGGCCATATCCAATATGTACTCAGTGTTTAACACAAATAATCCTGATTGGATATAAATTATGTTCAGCTTAGACGTGCATGTTTAGATTGTGGGTATAACGCTTGGTATTTATATAGTTATCAAGCTTTGTTTGAAGTTGACTCCATTTATCAAATTTATGGATGAGTTATTGGTTGAGAGTGAATACACTTGATGAATTTTTTTGATGAAAACCTCTAGCGATTAATAAATAGCCTTAACAAGTTAATTGAGTTCCTTTAGATGAATAGTATATGTTATATATGGGTAATTTTATGAGTTCATCAGGCAAGCTCAATGACCAAGCACTAAAAGCTTAGTTGGAAGTAAGGTTTAATGACTTCGATGCTAGCAAGTCACAAGTTGCAAAAGGTTCAAGCTAATTTTTTAAACGAAAGTTGTGTTAAACCTAGTTTAGGTTCTCATAATGAATTAAATAATTTGACGTAGGTAAATGGGTGTGTATATCAGTTGCTTTATTACCTCGTTCTTTTCAAGAAGCCGATAATGGCAACATATTAAAAATGTTAAAAACTAGTCTAGGTATTTCAAGTGACAAACACACATATTTAACAAATCGACTATATATATATATATATATATATGTGTGTGTGTGTGTGTGTGTGTGTGTGTGTGTGTGTGTGTTAAATATTTATAGTTCATCTTCAACTTCATTTCATATCCTTGAGCTTCTTTTAGGGTATTCTTTTAATTCTTCTTGGCCTAGGGGTATCTCTTTCTTTCTCTCCTTATCCTTTTTATAGGGTTTGAAAGGATGCATGAGTTATGTCCTGAATGTGGTAGCTATCACATTAATCTTTTATG